TTTTATAAATTCTAATTACTTACCAATAAACAGATGCTACTACCTACTGTCGAGAGAAAGAACAGGTGATCACAAATATTCACTTACACAGCTGAGTGTATCTATTACAAAGCAACAGGCAGCCTGTGTGATACTCATCTGACACGTGAGGGAGCATAGACTTAAAATAAAAGGTTAGGTCTAGCCACAGTCTTGGCACAGAATGCCCCGTTGTATGGGACATGGAGCAAAACCTGTTGCAATGGACTCCATATGAGCAGCTTACATGCCCTCAGCCCTGTGCAGAACATGCAAAGCTGAACCTGCACATAGAAGCCACGTGGACCATTTTGCTGGAGCTGTGGCGTCCCATCTACTGTCTTCACATCATACCTCTGGCTTCCTATCAGGTCTTCCAGAGACTTGTTGCTCTTTAGCAGAGGGCACTTAATTTCTAAAAGCTCTCCTGTATGTAACACACCATCAGGGCTGGCAGACAACCAGAGCTCATGTGTGCATAAAACCATGCCTCTGCAGGTGACCTTGTATCCACAGCCTTCTAGCCACTGCAAAGCTAATTCTTCACTCTCTCCACCATGCTGAGTTGCTGCATTCCCATGGAACCTAGGGTAGATGTGCGTGTTGAGGGTTGCCTCTGATAGGAACCTTTTTTGCAGAGCTGGCTTTAATTCTCCCATTGCGAGAGTCATGCCACAGGTGGGAAGCACTCTGCTCCAGTGTTACCTGCTCCAAAGTCTGGCATTTGTCTGGAGCAATGGCCACAAAGGTCTCATAAAATGACGTGCATCTCCTGCAGATGTCGGTGCCATCATGGTCAGTATGGGGTACAGCAGCGGGCTCTTGTGAGGGTTCTTTTGCAGCATTCACACATTTGTACAGAAGGCTTGACACAGGCAGGTTCAGATGTTTCAGACCTCTCAGTTCATCCTGGGTTTGAAAAATAGGGGTGGGAGGCAGAGGTAAATGGTTGGGCCTTACCTCGGTTGTCTGGAAGGCATCAGTGGCTTTGTGGTGGGGAAAAAAGCAATGTCAGCCAACAGCTTTGGAGCAAGGTTCCTTTGGGTCCCAATATTCCAAAAGGTGCTGTTCATCAGTGCAGGCAACTCCTGTGAGTCCTTTAGACACTGCATTTTCAACCTGATACCAAACATGACTGTTAGCACTGGCAAAAATACTTGGCAAGTATAGAAATATGAAGATATTTTAAGTCATTTCCAAATAAAAATCAGTGATCGCCACATCCTTAGCTTAACTAAGTATAAAAAGTTACTAAACCCATATCAATTTTGCATACGAAATTGACATTCACTCCAGCATGACTTAAAACACTTTTGAAAGGCTTAATGTTATACGGTTGCCAACCTTCATGCATTTGGGATGAGATTAATGCATTAGGTTTTTCTCATACCAAATATTGGTTATATTGATTGAAGCAATATATGTAATGCCAGAAAAAGTTAATCCCACACCACATACCACGAATAATGGCAATCCATACTGTTCCTGCCTTTGGGTAATGACTTGTTACCGAGTGTGTTTCTGCCTTTACTAATGGTCAGTTTTAGTGCTTAATTAACATAACTTGAATATTCCAATTTTATGGTATGAATAGATGTTCACTGTTATAAGTAATATAAGTATATAAATGAAAATGATTATTGTATTATTATCTAAACCACACACGTACAGAGATAAAACTATATAAATTACACAGGCGCGCGCGAACACACACACACACACACACACACACACACACAGAGGACAAAATAATTATTAGTGGTCAATTTTTTTTGCATTATTATGTTTACAAAATACATTTCACTGTTATTACAAGCAAGACTTCAGCTCTGGTTTTGGACCCAAAAACAAAGGAGACAGAAGACGCTGTTAATTAAACCTCATTTTATAAAACCCACATGAATTCTTAAAATGAATCTGAATCATAATGCAATTAAGTACAGTTGCAGATAATTAAGAATATATAATACTTATGAAATGCCCAACACAAGCTACAAACCAACTGTTTCTGCATTCTGTTTCCACACTGGTAGCATGTTTGCATGTTGGCAAATCTTCTTTACAGCACCTGTAAATAATAAAATGGTCTAATATAAGAACAGATTAAATTCAGTTCAGTTTTGTAATAAGCTGATAAAACTGGAAACATACTATACAGAAAGTTTCATAATTTTTTCATATTAAATAAGATTCATTATTTTGGAGAGATTTTTACTTTGTACACAAAACACAGATTTCAGATCTACAGATTAAGAATTTATGTAAAATTGAGTTTTGATTAATCCATATTTAAAAGCTAAATCAGGTGTACTGTCATGGAGGACATATCCATACAATGGCTGTGTCATTATCTCACTACATCTCACATTTAAAAAAAAAAAACAAGACAGTCTTGTTACTTATTTTCATGTACTCTAATAGTATATTATTAGAATTACTAAATTTTAACAGTAAATAAACTCACTGCTGAGATAAATAGTTGCTAACAATTTTCTTTGATGTGTAAGACATTTGCACAGAACTGCATATGTGACTGTACTTGACAGGGCTGCTTTGAAGGCCAAAGAATAGTATTTGGATCTTTTAGGGGGATTCTTTTTTTTCACATTTTTATATAATTAAATGTAAATATGTAAACAGTAATTCAGAGTGGTTCAAGAGAAACATAATCAGTCAAAATTGTTCAGAGCAGTGGTGACAAGAACCAGACCTCTGAAGAGCATAATGCCTCTAAAAGCCCTTTACAGAAAGGTATTACAAAAAACAGTTATAAAAAGATTGCTGTTGAACTACCGTTTAAAACGTTGGAATCACTTGTCATATAATAACAGTGTTGACTGAAATATTATAAACTAGACACCAAAACATAAAACAAAGGTTTATTCAGAAGCGAAAGTACTTTGGGAACAAGAAGACATTATGACATGGCAAAAATACTTCATGTTATTAAATAATAAACACAATTATTTATATTAAATTCTTAATATAAATTACTATGAATAACATTGTCTTTCAAACGTGAGGCATTCTGAACATCCTGAGAGTTTATTCTCTATGCTATACAGCTTTTTCTATTTTAATATAATCGTCTGCAGCTCTGTTCATCTGCAGCTCTGTTCATTTTTACAGCTTCCTACATTTTTTTGTAAACCCACAGAAGTTTAAGACTGGTTTTATATCATTCAAAACAGTTATTCTAAAAGTACCAAAAATACCTTTTTGTAAGATTTATCACTATTTTACCATCATCAACACTACATATAAAACGCAGCAGATGTATATATATATATTGATGGTTTTGGTTCCACATACTTTTGGGCACGTGGTATATCTGTATCAGACCAGGGTTGGTCACAACGTAGATATCCTATGATGGTCTCTTTCCACTAAAGGGAGGGTTAGAGGCAAATTGTGCAGTAACACCACAGCCTGTAATTATAAACCTGCAAAGTGCACCATGGAAGGTGGTCCTAATAAACTTTCAACTTAGCGAAAGTAAACAAATAATGGGAGAAATATGTGTATGTATGTGTTTAGTGATCAATATTAACCATTGTGAATTTTTGCAGGCTTTGTTTAAAAAACCTACTGTGGTAAGAGGCAGACGTCCGCAGTATGTGGAACTGTCATGCTGGTGGTCCTACTGACTAAAGTTCTGTGGCAATTCTACACAAAGCAATACAAAAACCACAGAATGGAAGAAGGTTTGTTAAAAGGGCTACTTATACATAAACACAGTTCAAAATAAATAAACAAAATCTAGTGCAATAAATAAAATTCAAAACAACTAATTTCTCACCATAAAATACTGCTGTGAAGATAGAAGCAGTACAACTGGCATAGTAACAAGGTTTTAATACTGTAGTGATACTATCCTGTCTCTATTTACTGCATTTGACCTGCAGCATTACAAACTACAGTGCTGTATTTGCACCATGTCCATTTTACTGCATTCGTACTGAAACTGCACTATTACAGCAGCATTAATGCTGTATACTGCACTACTATTTTAATACACTAGCAATACTGTGTATTTATTATTAATAGGAGAAACACCTCAAACATATATTCAAACATAATGATATCTAAATTTTTACATAATTTGTTGAGATGTAAAGAAAGTCATTCAGAGTGGTTTGGTGTGAAATGGTTGATTGTAGAGACTCGGATTTTCTTTACAGAGATGGTGATAGGAAGACGGTATTAACATGACTACAATTATATGGCTATTTTATTTATTACCCAAAGCCACCAGTGAACCTACATGTCATCTGAGTTTTATATGGAATGCTGATGATGGTAAACTAAAAAAATCTGGGAAAAAAAGTTTTCTTTGGGGACTATTCTGCTTCACAACGCCCTGCCACCATTAAAAATATGCAAATCTTCTCAAAACTATTGTAAAACAATGCCTCAGACAGCAGTGTATTCATAACCATTTCATGCAGTGACTTTCTGTGTGGGAGCTTTTAGAGGTGGACGTCTGGTTCCTATCATCGCCACTGTAAACAATTCTGACTCGTTAAGCTTCTCCAGAACAGAGCATTTCACACCAAACCACTCTGAATGACTTTATTTACACTATAACCATTTAACAGCGGAATTCTCCTTTAATACACTGCTTAAAAGCAAAACTTTGTTAAACAACCAGTTTCCCAGACAGCTAACAGGTTTCTACAATATTACAAGACAGCCTTTAAGTTTAAATACCAAAGGATTCACTGAAAACTGCAAAATACAAAATAAAGTATATCACATGCATATCTTACATGCTTTAAATGTCAGTTTATAAACTACAGCTGTCCCAAGTAGTATCAAACTTTGTAAGTGAAAGTGAATATACTGTTAAGGATACCATTATATACACTCTTTAACAATCCCATACAGATGCAAGTGGAAATTAGCTTTATTGTAGCGATAATCAGTTAAACAAAGCCTACGTGTAAGGCCGGTTACCTGGACATGAATTATGCCTAGTCATGTACTGTTTTTTTTTTTCCTTTTAATATAAAATTTTCATTTAAAATCCTGTGTTGTCCAGATCTATGCATAATACTTGTCCAAGAAGCTGGCCAACAAAGTATATATGCTAAACACTCCTATATAATGAAACAGCTTGCATAAGTTCATGATCACATGGCGAAAAAATCCTACTGAAATATCCTACGCTTTATTTAATGTTTATGTTTATTTTAGGTTGTGGACATGACCATAGGCTAAAAGATCACCAGGGGCAAAATATAAGTCAACTTAAATTTCAGAAAACCAGAATGCATAGCGTTCTGCCCATCCCTAGTTTTTCCACATATATCCTAAATATTTACAGTTCTGTTACTGTAGAAATATATGTTAAATTTAGGGGTGGTGTCTAATCAGAGCTCTCTCACAACTTGGGTAGAGCAGAGAGCTCCATACCAGGTGTCTGGTTAAACTGTGCCAAACTGCAGGGGCTCTATTTTCGTGGTAATAGATAGTACAAGCAGAAAAATAAAGCATAACATCACTGTGCTGATGCATGTGACAATTTTTTTGTATTTTCCTGACTTGCATGGCAGCTCCAACCTGAAGCAGAGCAGCACAACTATAAGCAGGGCAGAATAAGAGCGAATAAATGATCAAAAGGTGTGGTTAGGCGTGGTGCAGGAACAGCCAAACAGATCACCTCCTCTCATTCCCTTTAAGAGATGTAAGAGCACTGACAGCAATACTGTAATATTTTCCTAACAGGGTAAGATCACTGCTTTTCTACAAAACAAAATTTTTATTTTATGAATAGATAAAAACTGCCAAGTCTATTATTTAAAGGCTTGAATGGTCCATTACTTACATGAAACATTATTTACATCTATAATAATCATGAAGGACAAAATAATTACTATTGTTATTATTTTCATTATTATATAGAACAATAAATTAATAAAATAAAATTTAAATGAATAATAAAAAATTTGAAGTAAATAAAATTAGATAACCTAAAAATGTATTTTGCATAGCACTATAGTTCAAGTTTCCAGCAATTCCATGAACAGAAGAGTGAGTTTCAATAACTAGGTATGTTGATACAGAAGCATGACGCATACAAAATGATTAAAGTAAGTATCTGCAGGCTTTGTATCAACTGCATACTCAGAATGTGCTGTATGTTCTGGGAGATCAATTCACGGACAGATTACCTTATGCCGGGATCAGACTACAAAAATTCAGCTCAATTATGGCATGATTTTGTTGCAGTCAAGAAATTTCCAGCGTTGGGCCTGAACATGAGCGTCAGGAATGATGAACAGCTCTTGCAGTGTGACATAATCAAAGAACAGCGATGTGGCGTCTGGGACTCACAACACCCTGATGATGAAGTCAAGCACATCGAAATGTTTTGTACTTTTCTGCTTAATTTGACATCGCCTACAACACATTCCTTCACGTTAACCAATAGGATGACAGAGTGCTGTCTGTCGCGCAGATGTAAACACGGCGAAGAGAAAGATGGGAGCTGCTGTTGCAGTTGTCAGGCAGAACAACGAAACAGAGTCCTCTTCATGAGACCTAGGAATGAGTCCACAGTGAGTTTTTTTTCTTTTCTTTTTTCTTTTGAGAACACAAAATCGGCAGCATCACACATAGCGCATCTGATGGACAGCTTCTTGACCCGCCTCCCCAACAACCTATGAACTCACGCAAGAACGTGAATGATGATTAGTTGGTGTCAAACTTGTAGTGTTGCCAGTCTCCTGACCAAGACACGGCACAAATTTATGACACTATGTTTGCCTAATCTGACATAGTGACCATTGTGACAAAAAATATTGTGTAGTCTGACAAAAATATTGTGTAGTCTGATCCCAGCGTGTATTCTCTCCTGAATACATGACTTCTGGAAAAAAATGTACAAATCTATCGTATACTTTCCATCTGTATCTTCCTTTTTGTCCCTGCAATTAGTAATATGCTGGCGATATACAGTACGATTAAACTTAGGATGGCACAAAAAAAAGAGAGTCCCAGTTCTGTTTCCACTTAGAATTTGCTTTAGACTTGCCCTCTTTCTGGCTTTCTCTCTCATAAATACAGCCCCTTGCTCACCTGTTGTCCTTCTGTATCCGTGCATACCCAGCCAGGGTTCAGGGCAGTGCAGAGGATATCATTTCCCTTTAGTTCCAGAGCAGCACACACTGTCTGCCTGAAAGACAGAGGCAGATCTACTGTCACTTAAGCCGAGCTTCAGAAACATGTTCCATGCAGTCAGGGGCAGGTTTAGCAATTCTGGGGCCACAGGCAAAAGACAGGAATGGGGCCCCTGGATAGACATTTTTAAATTAGATGAAACCATCTACACTTCAAAAACATAAGTCAATACTTCCAATATTTCTCATTTTTAGATTGTTGTAAGAATATTATAAGATTATTTAACATATTTCTAGACATTTTGCTTAATTTTTGTTAAGGGTTTTTTCCATTGTATTGGCAGAAAATTTGCTTGTTCTAAGAAATAATGCCAGAAACAATCAAAATGGTCTGCTAATATAGTAAGACAATTTGGTGTAGCATAATACAAAAGTAAAGTACTGACTAAAGAAAGCACTGCAATTTGAGTAAAGTAATTGTTAACAAATTCCTTTTTTAGTAATTACCCCAATACTGCAGCTATCTATACTAAAATTAACACCAGCATTATGTACAGGCTGCTGAGCCTGTGCAGCAGAGCCATAACTAGGATAAAAGATTTAATGAGGCCTGTTTTGCTGAAAAGTAACCATCATACAGTGAATAATACCAACTACACCAACTGTTGAATTCTGCTTTAGGGATTTTTTAAGTCAAATCACTGCTCCTTGTTTACCCATCCTTAATTATTATGCACTTTATCCTTTCATTTGTTCCTTTCCCATACCTCCATTCTTCCATAAACTGCTATTACTGTTCCATATACTAATTTACCCTCCAGTTACCCTATTTACATTTATTTAATTAATCATTTAACTATTTGTTTACATCGAGATTTTCAGCTTTGAATACATGCTGACATCTATACTGAATCAGGTTATAGTTTCAAAACGATTTTAGTTAATTTTACCATTCATCTCTCTCTCTCTCTCTGCTTTTCTGTCTCTCTCTTGCTCCTCGGTCCTCATCGATTACTGAAAAAACACACATTAAACATGCGTTATAAAAGTCCATCCAAACTCCGGCTTACATGAAGCACAGGGTACCCATACAATTAGAAAGACAAAATACAGCCAAATGTACCTGCTGATTTTGAATTATGTTAAATGATACTTTGCCAGCAAATTGAAATTACTAAAAATAATCGCAAAATAACTGCTGTTTTCAGAATGAATATATATTTCAGAATAGGTTATTTAACATCAACACACAAAGCATATCTAATGTGTATCTTCACGGGGCTTTTGGCTCATGGGGGACCTAGGTGGCTGCCTACCTGCAAAGACCGCTGCTGCATACAAAGTGCTTGGAAACTTAAGGAGAGTTTGCGCGAGTCTAAATGGACCGCACAGCCAAACTAGTCTAACATGGCTAACAATAAATTGAATCAATTAAATTTACTAGTTAGTCATGCTGACTGGAAATTCTGTACTAATACGTAAAGATGTATAACGTGGTCTGACAACCTCCCGTGTAATCTGACCCAATGCCTCTAACTTTTAAATGACTAGCTTTACAGGGTGATTTACAGACTTTAGCATGTTTTTTGTCTCCTCACTCAGTAAAGCTACTTTTTTCATTTTTAACAATAACAAAAATTCTATAGTGCAACTTTAAGTTTTGAATTACAAAGCACTTTGGGAAATGCTCGGTCACTGCTTTGGTCACTGTTCTGAAATTGTTTTAGGAAATGATCCACTGAGCATGCGGATGTATTAATTTGAAACCACTGCTAGTTGCAGATAATGCCTAAAACAACCGTAATACTGTTAACTGGTCTCCTATCTTCCTTTTAAATTATTTTATTTTTTCTCTCTATCCCACCATATAGATTAATTTAAAGTTGTGCACAGCAGTTGACAATTCAGCAGGTTTTTACCTGGAAATTGGAACATTTCCATGTCCAGCCATTCCTACTTAGTCTTTTGAAGTTAATCCTTAAACTGACTTGAAAAACAACAGAAAAAAACAGATTAAAGAACATCAGAATAACATATGTTAAGTGTTGCCTACTACAGATACAAAGCTGTAAATGTTTCTGATGTAAAGAGGGTCTTAGCCTGGGTTTTTGTGGTGGCACTACTCCTGTGAAATGTTCACCTCTTCAGAAATGATCATCTGTACAAGACAAAAAAAATGACTATATTAATTATAGCAATAACACAGGACATTCTACAAAAAACTGAAACAAGGACAAGGAGAACACTTTATATGCAGTTCTTTCTGGGGGCTGTTTTTGACATACAGAGCTAAAGATACTGTGATCTGCTGATGTAAAAAATCAACATTGAACAGGAAGCAACAATTTTGTCGCTGTTCAAATACACAGTGACAATGAGCACAAAAGGTGCATCAAACAGAATGACTGGCTCTATTTCCAAAGTAATGTCTTCTTCAAAGTTTTGGAAAATAATGGATAGTGGATGTATTTAAACACTCTCAGATTGACTGTGACCATTACCCTGTGATACTGATACACCCTAGTTCGAACTTTACAGGGATGTAGCCCAATCTTACATTCAGGCTAACCACTCTTTCGTTTTTACTAACATTCCCTTTCGCTAAGCGACAACTGCAGGGCCTCAGAGGACAAACCAGCTAACTTTAGCCTAGCTAACTAACGCTAGTGATTTTACTGTCAGACTGACCTGGAGATGAATTAGCTGAATATGTGTACAGAGCTCAGCTCAAACTAACTGGTTAAGATACTCATTACTCCTCACCTTTAAATGCAGGGCTTTAGGGTACCGGTGTAACGGGTAGCGGTCCTCAATGCACTTGCGGAGTCTTCGGTCTTCAGAGCTGAAATCTCCGAAGTCTGGATGCACGTAACACCATAAACTCTAAACTAAAATAAAGTAAGCCAGACTTTTTGAAGAGATTTTCGTATAAACGCGATCAATAAACGTTTAATCCGTGACCGTCAGATAAGGTGGTGAGTACTGAGTGTTAAACAGCTCCTAACAGTCGCGCTTGTTTAAACAGTCAAATCGAACGCTTGGAGAAAGCGCGCGCTGCTGCACTGAGCCTCCAGGGGGCGGAGTCAGACTGCTCAGCTCCTCCTCTGCCGTGTTTTAATTGGTCAAAAACTCTGCCAGTCATTTGAATTTTCTTTCTTGCTTTTTGAATCTCAACACAAAACTGTATATTAACCTGTACAAAACAGGGATGTATTCTATTCAGACATTACTTCTCATAAAGAGTCTTTTATACATACGTCTTATATACACTTCAAAGTTTTTCTATTTGATGATGTATTTATGGTTTTGATTTCGTTGTTTTCTCCAATAATTTGTATAAAGCCATCAAGGTACACAAAGAAAAAAGTGCCCAAAAAATCAGAGAAGTAAACTCAAGTGTTTCAGTACGCCAAGTTTATGTATTTGTTTATTAGATTTAGCGTATTTCAGTCCTGGAAACGCATGTATATTATGCTCTTTTTCAATTTTAAAGTGTATAACATTTGGTTTAGTTTTTAGCTATTCACATTTATGGATATGACATTTCCACTGACAATAAATCAAAGATGATTAAGGATAAATCAAAGTTTATGACGCATTCAAGTTTTCTTTGATGCTACAAATGCAGTTTTTTTTTCTGTGCGCTGCTAAGTTCACACTCACGTAAGCTTATTACCAAAGATTTATCAAAACTGAAAGCAATGAAAGAGCGTGAAAAGTGAACCTGTAAAGCAGACTTTAGTCAGTGAACCAGTTCGTAGAGGAGCTGGACATTCCACGCTTAAAGAGGAGTCCTGGTAGAACAAATTTTACTGGCCAAGCTAGCAAAATAGATACCTTTCTGGATATTATAGCTCAGTCTGTTCTATTATGTCTGTATTCACGGTGAATAAAAGACTTTTAAAGACCTCTGTACCTCCATAACGTGGTTGTTTGCCGACTGTGATCTGGCACAACGACTCTGAGATCGCAGTGGTTAGACAGCATGAAACAGAACATTATAAACGCCAACACCGGCCCTGCTCTGGGCCAGTGCCGCTTACTGACCGCGACTGCGAGCCAAGTGAGAATGACTCCCCAATAGAGTCTGGCTGCAGACATGCACGCTCAGCCCCAGTGACGTCACATGCACATGCACTCTCTGCCACAATGCCAGAAGCAGCCCAATGGCACGGTAACTTGTGGCTGCTGCTGCTTAGCGATATCATTAATTAACCAATTTTTCATCCATAACACAACTAGAGAGTTACATTTAATGTACCTCCCTGTTGAAAAAAATCATAGAACCCATTAAAAGTGTCTGTTGGTTCCTGGTGGTTTTCAGTAGTCACTAATGGTATTCTGTGTTTTCCTGATGGGTTGATATCACAGTGTAAAGGATTCTGATTGTTTAATCAGGTGTTCTGGGACTGATTCCACATACATTTGATCGTTTCCTAAAGGTCTCCAACGGCAATATATCAAGCCAATTCCCGTTAGGAAGCAAAACCATCAGGTTTTATTTCATACAGCCCTGCAAACACAGTTATGTTGTGACAACGTACTGTTTTGGTGCCCACAGCGTTGTCTGCTTGGTGCTCTCTACGTTGTCACAAAGCTGAAATGTCGACAGCAAAAGACCTTGATGGATAATTTCACCTTTACAGAGTGAAAGAAGTAAAATATGGCTCACTTCTTCTAAATATCTCCAAATTCGCTCTCTAGGTCAATAAATTCAGTGCTCTTAAGTGTAGTGAACCCAAAGATAAACTGCAAGCGGTTTCTGGTTTTGTTCGTTTTTTTTCCTTTTTTTTCCCTAAACTGGTTTGGACCGGCTTTCCAAGCTGACTCAGACTATCTTAAGGGAGGACAGCAACTACTCTACTGTATTTTGACTGTAGTACAAAACATGAAATGAAGATAAACCCTCGCTTTAGGTGGGTTACACATAAAACAAAAGCGAAATTTAAAAGCTAATAGCTACAGAAGTGTTATTTGGAAAAGTAATTAATAATCCGAATAATCAATTATTTGTTTCAGTAATCAATACATTATTCGACTATGAAATTAGCCGTTTGCTACAGCCCTATAGTCTACAGTACCCAGTGAGAGGCAGAACAGGTGTCTGTCCAATCTGAATCAGCCCGCAACAGGCAAAAGTGCACAGGCCACATCCATCCAGCCATGATGTTGATGATACAGAAGCCGCTGTACCACTCGCAACCGCAGAACAGCAACTCTAGAGCGGATGTCTAGCCCCTGTCCCCCCTCTTGCACAGGGAGACACAGGACTGCAGCCCTTAGCCAATGCTGTCCATTCCAAAAGAAATCCACCAGTGTCCTTTGTACAACATCAATCAGCCCCTGAGACGGGTTAAACACCGTTAACTTATGCCATAAAGTCGATGCAGTTAGGTTATTGGTGACCAGAACTCGACCCCTACATGATAACTGGGGTAGCAACCATGACCATTTAGACAACCTGGCATGAACTTTCTCCACTATCCCCTCCCAATTTCTAGCCTTAACCTCTATAGACCCCTAAAAACTTTAGCCTTGTCCTACCCCTACTTCACATGGCAGTGTTGGCAGAGAACTGTTCCTATGGTTCACACCATAAAGCCTCTGTTTTGTCCCAGTTTAACTTGCAGGATGCCTGTTCGTAGATTCTAAGAAAATCTTCTAAAGAAGTAACATTTTGCTCATGTTCTATAACAACAGTGAATTCATCAGCATATGCAGAGAACTTGACAAGGTTTCCCCTAATGTGTAGACCTAACAATTTCTTCCTCAACAAAGAAAAGGGTCCACTGCAATACAGTACAATTGCCCTGACAAAAGGCAAACGTGCATGATCCCAGATTAACCGAAACTGGAACACTTTATCCCCCTCCCACCTTAATCAAGCAAGAGACACATGTGTACAACAGTTTGACCCAAGATAAAACAAAAACATCCCCAAATCAAAAGGCTGTTTAATTATTAAACAAGTACTCATCATCTACTCGATCAAAAGGTTTTTCCTGATCAAGTGACAAGAAACCAAACTCTGAACCCGACAACTTTGCCAACATATCCCTGACCATAAATAAATGTCATAAATAGACCTTTTGGGTACACAGTATGATTGCTCTTCATGTACAAGTGTGCTCAGTACCATTTTAAGTCTGTTGGCAATACAACGTGACAAGATTTTATAGTCAGTGCATAAAAGGTCTCCAGTTCTTGAGCAAGCAGAGGTCTCCCTTCTTTGGCAGCAGAGAAAGGACAGCGTGTTGACAGCTCCTAGGAAGCCTAGGACTTCCTCGCAAGTCAAATTTGCATCCAGTGCATCTTTGTACTGCTGATCTAATTGAGGAAGGTCTGCAAGCAATGCCTCAGAACAAGTCTGGCCCAAAGCCCCAGCTGTGAACAAAAATGTACAGCCTGCCTCCGCACCTCCACAGGATCTGTAGTAACTGTGCCATCGTTCTTATGTAAAGAAAACAAAGACTGGCATATGCTAATGGACTTTTCTAGACCAAAAGAAAAAGCTGCGGGAGCATCCATGTGTTACACAGACATTAATCTGGACTGGACTAATGCCCCCTTTGCTTTTTTCATCTAAAATTAAACTCAGTTCCTGCAACTTCATGCTTAAAACTAATTGCAAACCAGAGGCATTTGTTTGTGTATCCTCACAAAATCATGCTCTAAAACTTGGATAGATATTCTCAGTTCACCTGTGGAACATGCTGGAAAATCCTGATAAAACATTCTAATCTTGGTCTTCTCCACCTCCCACCACTGCATAAGACTCTCAAACTCCCCTTTTCTTGCACCCCATTACCCTCAAAAGGTTATTTGTGCAAAAGCACAAAAGCATTTGTCTTTTAACAGGTTTCTTTTAAAATACCACATACAACTTCTTTGAACATAAAAACTAAAAGAAAATTCCACTGTGCATAAGTGGTGATCTGAAAAAGAGGTTGGTGAAATATTAGACAGAATGACCATATTTCTCGCACATTGTGAGACATAAAACCTGTCCAATCATGCAGCAAAAAAAAAATAAAAAAAACATCAAATACTTTTACTTTTTAAGTGTATTGTTTTACTAAAGGATGCTTTTCCCACCATGCATCTGTCAAAAATAAAAACAGATACAGTATTAGCTAAAACAGATGCAAACTGGGATGTGGCTCTTCCCCATTCCTCTCCTTAACAAAATCCAATGTACAGTTTCAGTCTTCACCCATGACAATAATCTCCCCTGAAGAGAGGGACCACAATAACCGATTCAATTTAATATAGAGCCCCACTCTATCCGTCCCTTTATTTGGTGTATAAACATTAATAAAAACAAATTTATGATCATGAATCCTTACTCTTACCAATAGTAAGCGTCACGTTAATACTTCACTTGTGGACAGTACAGTAACTGTCCAAGACTGGGAAAAGAGAATAGCCACACCTGCACTAACATTAGAGCAATGACTGACAAAAGATTCCCCTTTCCACCATAAACCCCAATCACTCAATGTATCTTGACCACTGTGTGTTTCTTGCAAGAAACACACATCAAGCTTCTCAGGGTTAGAAAAATCAGAGAACACCAATTGTTTTCCATTATCTCTCAACCCATTCACATTCAGAGAGCCCACGCTTAATATTCCCATACATATAGGAGAAAGGAGAAAAACAGTACAGCAGAAAAGAGTTTTGTACTTCAAAGCTTTGGCTTTTCGGACTGCAGTTACATGCTTCTTTAAACGAAACCACTTCTGCCCCGAAAGAATATCATAACCAACACACCAGTACACAAACTTATCTAACTTCTACAGGCCTACCTTTAGTTTCATCCAAAAAGGAGTTAATCTGATCCACAGTGTACAACATTTCACTGCTGAACTGACCACCTCCACAGTCTCACTTTGGTCAGCCGCAGTGGAGGCCTGGTTGTCCTGAGCTGCTGTCCGACTTACGTGGGCACACAAACCGCTTGTGTCCTATATCACTGCATTGAAAACTGTCAAGACCGTCAGGGCAAAACAAACACCTGCCTTCTAAAAGAACAGGACGTGTTTCAGCACCGCATTCTTCCAGTCTCACTTTGCTCAGTGGGATCAGTGTAATCGCAAATTTACCAAGCCAACTCAGGTTCCTTTGCAATTAGGTCATTAGGGACATCGGAGATGGTGACCTTTGTAGCCGGAGTCTGAAGTGGAGACAACATTTTACATTTACATTTCTGGCATTTGGCAGACGCTCTTATCCAGAGCGACTTACAATGTCGCTACACACAGACAGGCAAAGGTAATGTTAGGAGTCTTGCCCAAGGACTCTTATTGGTATAGTGTAGGGTGCTTGACCAGGCGGGGGATTGAACCCTGGTCTACAGCGTGGATCTACAGCGTAGAAGGCAGAGGTGTTACCCACTACACTATACCAACATGGCACAAAAGATCTCCAAAACCCAAATACTGCTTTCAACCAGCTCATTGACTAAGCACTCGTTTTTTAAAAAGATGACAACAGCTTTTTTCACAAAGCGGAGTATATTTGCTCATGACCAACTTTTTCGCCCACCACTAAAAGCACGTCTTCAACACATCTAAATCCATTAGAAAGGGACAGAGAGGGCATCATGGCCCACTCACTGCACACGTAGGCAACACTCACTACTACAGTGAACACCAACAGTCAGAAAATTTAGTTAAAGGAAGATACAATTCAAAGAGGAAAAAAGTGAAAACTCTCCAACACACCACAGCTCCCACACACACAGCACTCTCACTGCCCAACTCCCAGCATGAGAGAGAGAGAGAGACAGAGAGAGAGAGAGAGACAGAGAGAGAGAGAGAGAAAAAGAGAGAGACAGATGAAACTGAAGCGTCACAACAGTGTTAAGAAGAGCTGAAAACTCACTGATAGTGGGTGAAGCCCAGAGTTGGCAGGTCAGCATATTTATCCGCAAAGTTAGCCAATCGGTCAATAACACGGGCCAACTACAGGAAGAGTAAGGGAAACAGAGAAAGAGAGAGATACCGTTGCTTAGAATAGCAAAGATGGCAGTACACTTTAATCGACAAAACTACCACCAAACAGTACACTTATTTGGGGACCTCTCTGGTGGAAAAGTGTAATTGCACACAACATGCGGAATAACATTTTGTAATGTCAGTTTTGCGGAGTGGATGAATCTGATGAGTGTGAGTACACTAAAAGAGTATTCAAACAGAACTTTGTCAAAATTTGGTAAAGAATGTGTCTTCTGAGGATATAAGTGAATGAACTACTATTGCCATCATATCTCCATCAGTATAATGATGGTTTTGTATTTGAGCTGGACCTTCTTTTTGAGCCTGTGCGTGTGATGTCAATCTTTAGACACTTATGACATGGTGCTTAAAACTACTGTAAAATCTGGCTTAACACCTGTGATTTCAAAATTATTATTAGCATTTTATTAATATCATTTTTTTTAATGTTTATTATTTTAGCATGTTTTTTTCACCTGACTAAGAAATGCTACTCCTTTCAATTTCAACAAAAAAAAACTAGAAAGATTTAAAAATATTTTTATAATAAAAATTTTTTTGCACTGAGCACCACTACAAGCCCACTCTGTGCAGGGATGCAGGCAACTATGGGACCAAAAGCGGTTAGGGGAAGGTCAAACTATGCAGTTATTAGGAATTCTGGACTGCACCATACAAACTCAAACTGCCATGCTGTTCAAAAAGATGTCATAAGAATAGTGATGACTGAAGGTGATATCCATATGTATTATGAATAATAAAACAGAACTCACCTTTGGCAACAGGATGTCAAAGCCATCCCGTAGCATAATCAGGTCCTAATGAGAGATCAGCTTCATTAATCTCTGTTCATCAATGTGAATATTCTTCCTCATGGAAATCATTACTTCTCATACAAAAAAAGCTTGCGGTCAGAATATGGATATGCAACATGTACATTAGTATTTCGCTGAAGCTGCCCCTCACCGTATTGTCTCCCACGTAACAGGAAGTAGCACCGAGGTGGATAATAGGAGCAGCAGTGGGGCAGCAGTTGGCAAAGGTGTGAACATGGGCCATAACGTCATGCCGAAGCTTTCGCTCCTCTTCAGCCGCCATGGCAAAGTCGATATCTTCCACATGAGCCTCCATCTCACTCACCTGAGCATCTGTGATGGGCAGCCCCAAGACCTGCAAATAGACACAATAGATATAAAAAGTCTACACACCCCTATTAAAATGCCAGGTTTTGTAATGCCAAGGCTTTAGATATACCATGGAACACAGTGAAGACAGTCATCTAGAAGTGGATTAAATTTGGTACAACAGTGACATTACCAAGAACTGGAGGTCCCTGAAAAATTGATGAAAACACAAGAAGAAAATTGGTCTGGGAGGCTGCCAAGAGGCCCACAGCAATATTAAAGGAGCTGCAGGGATTTCTGGCTAGTACTGGTTGTGTAGTGAATGTGACAACAATCTCCTGTATTCTTCAAATGTCTGGGCTGTGGGGTAGGGTGGCAAGACAGAAGCTTTTTCTAACAAAGAAAAACATCCAAGCCCAGCTATGTTTTGCCAAAACCTACATCAAGTCTGATGAGACCAAGGTTGCCATAATTCCAAAAGGTATGTTTGGCACAAAGCCAACACTGCGCATCACCAAAGGAACACCGTACCCACAATGTAGCATGGTGGAGAGTGCATTATGCTTTGGGGCTGTCTTTCTGCAGCTGGAACTGTGGCTTTAGTCAAGGTGGAAGGAATTATAAACAGTTACAAATACAAGTCAATTTTGGCACGAAACCTTCAGGCCTCTGCTAAAAAGCTGAAGATGAAGAAGAATTTCACCTTTCAGCACGACAATGACCCAAAGCATACCTCCAAGTCAACAAAAAAAAATGGCTTTGCCAGAAGAAGATCGAAGTTTTGGAATGGCACAGCCAGAGCCCTGAACTGAATCCCATTAAAAATCTGTGGGTAGACCTGAAAAGGACTGTACCCTAGGAGATGCCCTTGCAATCTGACAGATTTGGAGCGCTTCTGCAAGGAAGAGTGGGCAAAGATTGCCACGTCAAGATGTGCCATGCTGATAGCCTCCTGCCCAAAAAGACTGAATGCTGTCATGAAGTCAAAGGGTACTTCAACAAAGTATTACTTTAAAAGGTGTGCATATTTATGCAACCATAAATAGTTTGCTATTTTTATTTTCCCCCCTCCAAATAATTTTAGTTTGTTTTTCAATGGAATTATGAGTCACATGGTGGAAAGAGAAAAACAGCATGAAGTTGATTTTTCACTGAACTATCACTTAGGCCCCTTAAGGTCAACATACAACAGGTATATCAGATTTACTGAAACAAAGAATACATTGAGATAAGATTATAAACAAGTAGCAGTGGCTCTCTGTAAGCAAATGACCAGTTACATATACATACACTATACTGCCAAAAGTATTCACTCACCCATCCAAATCATTGAATTCAGGTGTTCCAATCACTTCCATGGCCAAAGGTATATAAAACTGAGCACCTAGGCATGCAGACTGCTTCTACAAACATTTGTGAAAGAATGAGTCGCTCTCAGGAGCTCAGTGAATTCCAGTGTGGTACCGTGATAGGATGCCACCTGTGCAACAAGTCCAGTCGTGAAATTTCCTCGCTACTAAATATTCCACAGTCAACTGTCAGTGGTATTATAACAAAGTGGAAGCGATTGGGAACGACAGCAACTCAGCCACGTAGTGGTAGGCCACGTAAAATGACAGAGCGGGGTCAGCGGATGCTGAGGCGCATAGTGCACAGAGGTTGCCAACTTTCTACAGAGTCAATCACTACAGACCTCCAAACTTCATGTGGCCTTCAGATTAGCTCAAGAACAGTGCGTGAGACCTTCATTGAATGGGTTTCCATGGCTGAGCAGCTGCATCCAAGCCTTACATCACCAAGCGCAATGCAAAGTGTTGAATGCAGTGGTATAAAGCACGTCACAACTGGACTCTAGAGCAGTGGAGACGTGTTTTCTGGAGTGACAAATCACGCTTCTCCGTCTGGCAATCCGATGGACGAGTCTGGGTTTGGTGGTTGCCAGGAGAACGGTACTTGTCTGACTGCATTGTGCCAAGTGGTCAGGACTGACTAGCACTGCAAAGAAGCTCTAACACATTGGACCAACCATCACTACACTTACAGAGTGACAGAAATAAACAAATCACATTTTAATTTCCATAAAGGGAAAACCAAGGCCATGCAAAAAAATGTTTTAGAAGTTCTATATACATCACTGACTGTGAACATGAGAAGCAGCCTAATCAGTGGATTGTCAGAAATGTTAAAACCATATATACCAGGCTTCTCTACTTAAAGTGTCACTGTAAAACCGCTATGAGGTAAATCATATGCTCACAGTGTTGGGGTACACACATACACACACTCTCTCTCTCGCTCTCTAAAACGCTTATCCTTCTGGGTCGTGGGGGTGTTGGGAAAGTTACTCAAAGAAAGGGAGTACTCATTACTTAACTAAAATTGTAACGGGAAAATGTAATCTCAAACCTCTTTACTTTTAAGTTGTATTCTAAAATCCAAAATCTTCAAGGGGCTCATTACATGGAATTGCCTAAATCTATGCTCAGAAAAAAAAACTCCTGAGAAACTCACTCTTACTCACTCATCTCTGAAATATGGTTATATCTCCATAACAAAAGTTTCTCAGATTGTTTGGAGGAATGCCTGTTTTGTCTTTGGGGTCAGCACAAGACTGTCTATACTGAAAAGTCTTACCAAAAGTGCACCTGATGGTGTTGCAGTGTTGTATTTCAATGAGATTTTCTTTACTCTGACAAAGTGGTTAAGAACATCAATCTTCGATCCATTTAATTTCAAGTACCCCATTACGTCATTCTCTGCACTGTAAGAACCATGTTCCTCTTCAGATGAGTACAGAGGAGAAATGCACTTTGATAGCCTGTAAAAACAAAATACAAAAATAATACATAGACTGAAATAGATAGAACTTTATTGATCCCAAAGGGAAATTTTCAGTAGCAAGACATATAATTGCACATAAATTTACATATACAATACAGAAAATAAAAAATAGAAATAAAAATAGACATAAGTTAGGCAGTAATAAAAAAACAACAAAAAACAGACATAAGTATGAGAGGAGAAATAAAAGTATATTTACATAGCATATAAGACACATCTGTTGTATTTACATGATAGCAGGCATTAAAGAGTATGAGGTAGTCTAAAAGCACAATGAGTATAGACATAACTAGAAGTTGCAGCAGTATTACAGTGTAAAGTGCGCAGTGAGTGTCATTACAGTAGCAGGTATTATATTGCACAGCAGTGTGAATTAACAGGAGAGGAGATACAATGATGTGGTTCAGCACAATTCAGACACCAGGAGATCAGTACCATCTCTTTAATAAGGAGACTGGTTGTAGAGCCGTATAGCAGTGGGTAAGGTTGATCTCACACGGCGCTCTTTAACACAGCTCAGCTGTAACAGTCTGCCACTGAATGTGCTTCTCTGTTCTTCAATGTGCTTGTCCGTTCCTCAAGCACCCCACAATGGCCGTGTCATCCGAGAATTTTTGCAGATGGCATGACTCCGTGTTGTACCTCAAGTCAGAGGTGTACAGTTGAACAGGAATGGGGCTAATACAGTCCCTTGAGGTGCCCCAACGCAGCACACAGCCTTGTCTGAGACACAGCACTGCAGTCGCACATACGACTGCCTTTACCTGTACAATTGCATTGGGTAGTCCCGTCCAGGGATCTCAGTAATGTGGGACAGGGCATTATAGAATGAGTTCCATCTTGTTGCAGTGGGGACGATGAGCTTTCTTCTGGTCACTTCCTCAACTAGCTCTGAGGCTAAACATGAGCAGCTGGTTTTCGTCACTGTTGGTTTCTCATCACTACTTGAGATCAAGTTAAGTGCATGTGAAGCACATTTCATGTGAGGAAGAAGAGTAAACTGCCCTTCTGAATCAGAGGAGAGAGCCTGGCCAACATCTGTAAATGTCACTTCTTAATCCCTGGGTTCCTCATCAGAATCTGAAACTGCATGTGGAACTAATTCATGAATTCTAAAGGCTTTGATAAAATTAGAAACGTTATCGGGTACAGGTGCAGTAACTTTATGTGACAGCTTGTATGCTGAATGGACCTGTTCAATTTCACTGCCAATGACATTGTATGCATGACTCCCCTGAATTCTTTTATAGGTTAAGGCAGCCTTTCCACGGCAAAAACTACTGGGGTTTATCCAATGAACAGTAATCCTGATGAAGCTTGTTTTGTGGCATGTCCATATGTCTGTGGTGGTACAGACATACTCTATGCCCTCAAATGTTTTTATAGCTCAGACTCCATGTTACCATAACGTGTCCAAATAGCTTGCAAATATTTTTTGGTCTGATGGCGGTTCACTTTTGCCTGTGACTGTTATCTAGTTCAGTATTTGTCTACTCGATTATATATCTTGCTACAAGTCTCTTCATTTCTCGAGTTTTGTTTTAGCTTGCACCCTGATTAAGTGCTTCACTGAATTGCTGTTGAGTCTGCAGCAGTTGAAATGTGCTTTTGGCTTGGACATAGCTTACACTTCACGGTACTGTTTTTGTCTGTGTGAAACAAATTGAAAATCGTCCTCTGCCATTGTTGCCAAACTGCGATTGTGCTGCGCTCCTCATATTTGCAGTGACATGAAGATCTGTGCAGTCACTTGCCATTAGTGCAGGCACTAATTAGCAGAAAACAGCCTGGGAAATGCTTTATATTGTATGTATTAAAAATATTTGTTTATAGAAAAATGTCAGTAACGCAATTAACAACTTTTTATTAAGTTAGTAACTAATGCGATTACAAAATATTTCACTGTAATGTATGAGAAAATTCTAACTTACCTCTCACACTCACTATCAAACCTCTCACACATGCTATCAAACTCTCACACACGCTATCAAACTCTCACACACACACTATCAAACCTCTCACACATGCTATCAAACTCTCACACACGCTATCAAACTCTCACACACACACGCTATCAAACCCTCTCACACTCACTATCAAACCCTCTCACACACATGCCATCAAACCTTCTCCCACTCACTATCAAACCCTCTCACACACACGCCATCAAACCTTCTCACACTCACTATCAAATTCTCTCACATA